TCTATATTAAGGTGATGGTCACTTATGTTTGAAGCCATCCTTTACCCCTCTCTCCTCACATTTCAGGTATAGGGTGTTCATACTTTACATCCTTTTATTTTGTGAGTCCCTTGACTGATTTTTACAGATATAGTTGTTTTTACTGTTTTTATGCCTCCTACTTCCCTCTTTCCTTCCCACTCAAAGAGTCCCCTTTAATATTTCTTGTAGGACTAGTTTAGTGGTCATGAATTCCTTTAACTTTTGTCTAGGAAACTCTTTCTCTCCCTTTCTGTTCTGAATGACAGCTTTGCTGGATAGAATATTCTTGGCTGCAGATTTTTTTCCTGTCGACACTTTGAATACATTCTGTCACTCCCCACCAGAGAGGGCCACATTTCTTACATACGCCAGCTTCACCCTGCACTCACCTTTCCTCTTCAAGAGAGTCCAATTTCCCTTAACATTAATACGAAAGAAATGTCTTCTTCATATGGCCGCCTCAGTGTCTGCTCAAACACAGCCTGCTCAACGCGGCTTCGTCTTCTCAAAAGCGATTTCCCCCTGAAATCTTTCTGCTTTTCACAAGCATTGCTATTAATCCAGTCAAACAGTCTCAACATTTCACATTTGTCTTCAATCCTCTTAGGCTTCTTCAATGTGAAACCCAGGAATCAGTAAGCAACCAAGTCCTGCTAATTTTTCCGTAACGTCTACTGCACCTGTTTGCTGGGTTCCCTCTTTGTGATGGGCTCTGGGGATACAGAGGTAAATCAGGCACACCGTGCTGCCAAAGAGTCCGCCACCGAGTGTCACTTCCTTGATAGTTTTACAACCACCACTGATGTTCTAGATGCTCATCTAGAGTAGAATACCTTTCCACGGCCAGCCCCGACATCAGTCTGGCTTTCTTCAGTCTGTTCACTCGCTCCTGGGACTCCGATTCACATTACAGTTTTCTGAGCAGCCACATTCCTTAAAATAATAAACCTATCATGGGATACCCTTGCTAGGAATATCTCCACGAGGTTCTGGGGTGCCTACAGGAAGTCCGTGGGCTCTCCTCAGATCAGCAGAGCTCTGTGTGCCCTGGGCTCACCCCTACTCACCTGCACGTCTTCCCTCTATCTCAAATACCCTTTAGATTTTATTTGTTGTACTGTTCATTTATTTTTGAAGGTGGGGAGAGGCAGAGAGAGAGGGGACAGAGGATCCAAAGCAGGCTCTGCGCTGACAGCAGCAAGCCTGATGCGGAGCTCGGACTCACAAACTGTGAGATCATGACCGGAGCTGAAGTCGGATGCCTCACCGACTGAGCCAGCCGGGCGCCCCTCTCTAGTACCCCTTTAGTACCCCTAGTACCAGCTGCAGGGAAGCTGGTCCTGAAACTGACTGATGTTTACTCCTGGCCTCAGGACCCCTCCCCTTTCTAGGCATCCTCCAAGTCACCGCGCAAGTCCTGCCTCTTTCCGCAAAATGTTTCACGAAATTATATCCACACTGATATATTACAGTATTTGTAGAAATCACTCATTCTGATGCTGAATCGTAAGTATTCCTAGTTTTATTTTTTATCTTTCTAAACTGACTACAGCTTCTTTGAGGTTGGTAAGGAAACCTTGTGTTCTTTCATGCATCCATTTGTTTGAAATATATTTATTGAGGTCCTACTTTGTGCCCTGCACTGAACCAGGCTGAGGGGGTCTACTGTGCTTTCACATAGTAGATTCTAAACAGATATTTTTTAACAAAATGCATCTCTTCTTCTAGCAAGTAGCATATTTATTTAAGAAAAATAACCCTTAGGCGCGCCTAGGTGGCTCAGTCGGTTAAGCATCGACTCCTGATTTTGGCTCAGGTCATGATCTCACGGTTTGTGACTTCAAGCACTGCACTGAGCTCCATGCTGGCAGTGCAGAGCCTGTTTGAGATTCTCTCTTTTTCTCTTTCTGCCCCTCCCTGGCTCATTCTCTCTCTCTCTCAAGAATAAAACAAAATAACATCAAAAAAGAAAAAGAAAAAGAACTCTTAAAACCCATCTTATTTTTAGATTATGCAGCCAGAGAAGTCCCATGATTTCCCAATAGCCCCTTGGTGTCAACAGTTGAGAGTTTCAACAATCAGGCTGGAGGTGAATTTAGAATATATACCTTTGTTCAGATTCATCATAATTGAATGCATCTTTTAGAATTCCTGTTAACATTGTATTACCACCTTTTTAAGGGTCACATTTCACTTTTCTTCAATTCGTTATAAAACGCTCACATAAAGAAAATGGAGCGCCGGCCATCTGTAATAATAGGAGGTGTTTCTACACTACCAATTTTACCAGGAAGCTTGAAACCCCCCAGATTGGGCCAGCTGTGTTAGCAAAAATGTAGGAGAGTGGGCCGCTTATTACTTAATTGCACAGACTGCTGTTGAGGGCGTGCATAATTCAGTTTACAAATGTGCCTATAAAAAGGAAATTACAATATAATAAATACTCAAGTAAATAAATAAATGTCACTGGGACGATTCTCTCCCATGACAACCAACGGTGTTAGAGTCCCAGATGTTTACATACATTGGCCCTGGAGGGACAGACAGGCCATGGGGAATCGGCACTGTTACCAGTGTGCCTTTTATACAAAGGTCGTACCAAGGGCGAAATGGCCATTCTGTCTGCACAGCATCCTTGTCCACAGCCTCTATGGGGCATCATTCATAGCAGTGATTCTCAAGCACTTTGGATGGGAAAACTCTTGATTTTTATCATTAAAAAAAGAAAGAAAAAAGGTAAAAAATGAAAAAAAAAAACCCTTTAAAGAGAATTACTTTTTTCATTGAGCCAGATGTGTGACAATTTGCACAGATCATGTAAGGCTCAGAATGAGGCTCCCTTCTCCTAGAGAGGACTTGCTTTTGCTTCTATCAGACATCTGGACTTAGGGAAGGTCTAAATCCAATGGAGGGTGGAAATGACTCATACCTGGGCTTTGCTCCTTCAGAAGATGGGCCTTTTCTGGTGATGGCCGGAAGCTCAGCCCGGCTCCTCTGTGGGTCAGCCATGCTCTCACTTTTGCGATCCGCAAGCTTCTTGTGAGGAAAACTGGCCTCAAATGTAGGCCTCACCTTCCTTGGCTTCCCTTTTCTTCTGCATTTTATTCCTGAAAATTCCCCGTGCCTTGGTAGCACGCCAGAGCCCTCACACAGTGCCCTTTGTTTAGTATACTTTTTTGCCTTGTATTATGTGTGGGAGGTACAAGCAAAAGCAACTTCACAGCTGGAAGGAGAGGTTCTTCTACCCCCGACTTTGGTGACTGGTGTCACTTCTTAGTCTCACCAGCTGATCATCTTGGGCTCATCTTTAATAGCTCAATACTTCAATGTCTCCCTCTTCCTTTTTTGTCTCTTCTGCACAGCTAGAAAAGTCTCTCTAAACCAGATTCTTTGGCCATTCATGGACCCTGTGATCATTTAAGTTACAACTGTCAGGGTAACTTTCTATCCAGTTTCCTGGTCACAGGGGTCTTTCAAGTCTAATTTGTTTTTTTTAATTTTTTAAAATGTTTATTTATTTTTAAGAGAGAAACAAAGAGTGAGTGGGGGCAGAACAGAGAGAGAGGGAGACACAAGAAATCCTGAGGGGAACTCTCTGAGGGAAGTGTTGCAAGGAACACAAGATACCAGAGACATCACCACAAGTATGAATCCCACAAAGAACACAATGACTCTAAACCCACATATTTCAATAATAACACTGAATGTAAATGGGCTGAATGCTCCAATCAAAAGACACAGAGTAGCAGAATGGATAAAAAAACAAAATCCACCTATTTGCTCTCTACAAGAAACGCATTTTAGACTGGAAGATACCTTCAGATTAAAAGTAAGGGGATGGAGAAATATAGATCATGCTACGGGAAGTCAAAAGAAAGCTGGAGTAGCGATACTTATATGAGGCAGGGGCACCTGGGTGGCTCAGTCGGTTAAGCATCCAACTTCGGCTCAGGTCAGGATCTCACAGTTCGTTAATTTTGAGCCCCACATCAGGCTCTGTGCTGACAGCTCAGCCTCTCTTCTCTGCCCTTCTCCTGCTCTCTCTCTCTCTCTATATATATATATCAAAAATAAATAAACATTAAAATGCTTAAAAAAAACCCCAAACTTTTAAATAAAAGAAAATCTCTGGAGAAAACAGTCTCTTTAAGAAGGTCTTCAAAAGACTTAAGGCTTAAATTCTGAAAATATGAACCAATAAAGATAAAAACATATTTCTGGATTGGAACATGACAAAATAACTTGGCACCAAACAAACCATGTGTTGAATGCACAGCCAAGAATCAGAATGTGGGCAAAGAAGAGCAGAGCACCGCAGGCCGGGCCAGTACACAGACAACGGTCCAGCTGGGCCGTACACCCAGGAGTCCGGGTCCCATGTAAGGATCCGTATGCCCCTGCGGCACGGCGTCATGACACAATTTCTGTCCAGGCAGGCTCCAAGTTAGCCAAGGGCAGGACAGCTTTATAATCACCAACTGACAACCTGCTCTCGGCAGCCGGAGCACCTCCCTGGGTTATGAACTGTAGCAACTCACACTCCCGAATGGCGCTGGTGTGAAAGAGCCAATAAGGAAACTAGAGGGAAAAGCACAGAAAGGAGCTTTTGTTCTGAAGCAGTAGGACCTTGGATGACACTTTCCCTCTATGTTTTCCAAACATGCGCTAATGCTATCATAGTATATATGACGTTATATGTATCATATGTATGAAATAAATAAATACCAATGCAAATGGTGTAAAAAAGAAGCCACATTTTCTAAAATATCATAAAAAGCGCAACAAAAGTTTCTTTCTGAACTTAGGATTTTTGTAATTCATTAACTCCAATAACAGAATTAAATTTCTAAACAGGGAGATGGGGGAGGAGAGCCAAGTGCCGCAGAAGGGGTGTTATAACAACATGTTATTTCCCATACAAAGCAAATACACAAGACATTTTTTTTTAATCTTATAATATTTATGAAGAAGGATTTTACCTAAAGTTCTCATATTGTTCTTCTTGTCGTCTCCACGGGCAGCTCTGTATACTTCTGATAGTTTGAAGATAGTCACTCTCTAAATACCTAAAAGTCAAATTGGTGGAATTAGAAAACCAAGATCTCATCTCATATGTTGCTACACAAATGTATGAAGTGTCCTAAAGAATACTTTTATAATCGACCCAGCTCAGCTCTCTAAATCCTTTCCTAAATAAGTTAATGTAGAAATAACTAAATATCGTATCCATTTCCAAAAATCTAGGAACACAAATTTGGAAAGAATTACTATGTTGACATAGGAATGTGCAATTTGCATGTAAGTCTAGTATTACAAATAAATCATGACTGCACCCCAACTCACACTCATATCTTATAGCCATTTCATCTTGCTGTAACTCACTAACAAATACATCCTATAGATGTTTACCATAAATATATGCTCTGTCATTTTTTTTATACTCTAGGTTGACTGATATACCTTGGGATATATAGAAAAAATTTCCCCAAAATAATCATCTTAAATTTTAACTCTGAATAGTAAAAACACAGATGAAACTAAGTTAAGAGAGATGTATATCAGCATAAAAGACCTATAGGCTCAGTGGTACAGTTTTGCAGGATCCCAGACCCCAGTGAATCTCCCTCTACCCAAAATTCCATTATTAAGTATTAATTCCTTAAATCATAGAATAGCCTTTAGTCTTTAAGGGTTATCATTCAAAATGCAAGTACCCCTTTGAGTGAAAAAAACCCTTAAATTTTCTTTCAATAAATATCTTAGTCATTAGGTGCCTGCTACTTGAGATCAAGGCTCTGCAGTAGGATGCAGAGTGTGGGTGGTAGGTGGGTGGAGAAGGGACAGGGCTGTGAAGAGTCATGTCAGAAATCACTCCCCACCCCATCCAGAAAAGGAGACTCCCTAAAGCTTAGTTCTCAAACAGGTGTTTGTTATCAGTGGGGAAGGTCATCAACCATCTGGCAACTCCTCTCCCCTTGAACTTTACCTACCTTTCACGTATCTCTCTCTTGACTGGTGCTGCCACAATAAATCAAAACTATTTTCCCTTGGTTGCCATTGGCCCAACTAAGAAAATCTGAAAATCTTGAAAGACTGTTTTATAATAAAGGAGGAGGCAAAGCAAAAAGCTACCACAGAAGTTAAAAATAGTTTTAGTTGCAAAGACACTTTCAACCTTAACAGATTTATCTCAATCCCACAGGTCCTACGATGGTTCCTAGTATACCAAGGAGCTTGAGAGATCTATATACTCTAGCCCCAAAGCTTTGTCTAAATGTGACACTTCCCAGTGGGAGTGAATATTACCTATCGCCACATGGTGGAAGATACCCAGAGTTTCTACAGGACAGTGTTAAGCTGAAGGAAGAAAGGGAAGGAAGGGAAGGAAGGGAAGGAAGGGAAGGAAGGGAAGGAAGGGAAGGAAGGGAAGGAAGGGAAGGAAGGGAAGGAAGGAAGGAAGGAAGGAAGGAAGGAAGAAAGAAAGAGAAAGAGAAGAAAAGAGAAAAACAAAGAAAGAAGAAAGGAGGGGTGGGGAGGAAGAAAGAAAAGAGGAAAGAGGTACACATTCAGTAGTCTACCCAAGGCTCTGTCAATTTCTGGCTCTTCAACCATGAGACTGAGACATGAGACTCTAACTATTCACTCCTGTCTGGAGGGTTTTGTCTACTGCCAACACATGGGTTTTAGTCATTTGATCATATTCAAAACAGGCCAATGATCAGAGCACCATGAGTATCAGGGTCCATCAGGCAAAGTCACAAAAGAACTGGAGTCTCACAAAGATCCATGAAAGAGAAAACAAAAAGAGTAGAGCCAAATACAGGTATCTTTTAATTAAATCAATGAGAATCACAAGTGTATTTTAAGTCACCAAGGTAAAACGTAACGTAAAAAGTATAGAAGTATGAAATTACAATTCTATCATAAAAACTAAATGTGTTAGAATTTATGAGCGCTGCTATATCCAAGAAGACTCTTTGACTTTCCAGGGCCTATCCTTTCAGAGAGTGTTTTTTGAATGGTATCCCTTGGTCTCTCTTGTTGGGACCTTGGTTATTTTACTTTCCTATTCGTAGTGATATTTGGGACTCTCCACCTTGTGTACTCTAGCTTGTTTCTTGAGGTAGCCGTTAGAAGTCTCTCTCAGTGGATTCTGCATCCTTTTTCTCCCAATCTCTCAGGTTTTGTAAGGTTTCCAATGGCTTCAGATCTTTTCTGTGTGATGTATGGGCGCGAGTGCAAGTATGGAGCTCCTTACTTCTCCGCCATCTTGCCCTCTCTTCTAAATGTGTTAGAATTTAAAATTGTATTTAAATACCATTTATTAGATGAAAACAATTAAATTTCCCATGATACATGGCAGAGATAGTAAGATTAGGGAACTTGAAGAGACAGAGCCATAAACTATTGAAAATCAAATATAATAGGAAATAAAAGATTGAATGAAAAAGTTATAAAGAATCATTCAGCTGTGACACAACCTTGATTTGGCCTAATATATGGGAAATTATGATCTTAGAGAGAAAAGGGACGCCTGGGTGACTCAAGCGGTTGGTTGTCTGACTTTGGCTCAGGTCATGATCTCATGGTTCGTGAGCTCGAGCCCTGCATCAGGCTCTGTGCTGACAGCTCAGAGCCTGAAGCCTGCTTCAGATGTTGTGTCTCCCTCTCTCTCTTCCCCTCCTCTGCTCACACTTTGTCTCTCTCTGTTTCTCAAAAATAAATAAAAATGTTTTAAAAATTTTTTAAAAAGAGAGAAAAGACCAATAACTTTTAGAAAAAATTATGATGGCAAATTTTCCAAACGAGAACTATAAATTCACAGATCCAAGAAGCTCAGGAAATTGAAAGCACAAGAAATGTAAAAAATAAATAAATAAATAAATAAATAAGACTCAAGACACACAATTAGAAAATTTCTTTAAACGAGTGATAAGGAAAATATCAGAAAAGTAGTTAGAGGAAAGAAACACATATATAGAAGCAAAATAAGATTACAACAGACTTGTCAGAAATAAGGCAAATCAGAAGGCATGGAACAATGTCATTAACTGAAGAACATGACAGGTTGGAGCGACTCTCAACCTAGAATTCTATAGTCAGCAAATCTTTCAAAAAAGAGGGCAAAAATAGGGCCTTTCTCAGACATTCCAAGGCTGAAGTAATTCATACTAGCAAGCCTGCAGGGTCCTAGCAAGGAATAGCAAGGAATGCTAGGGTCCTTCAGGCAGAAGCCAAAGGAAACCAGAGTGAATCTGTATTGATACAAAGGAACAAAGAACACTAGCAATGGGAAATATGTAAATATATACAAAAGACTCTTATTTTCCTAGGTCTCTTTAATAAGTAATTGACTGTTTAAAGTAAATATAATAATTTATTGAAGAGTTCATAACATATGAAGAAATCAATGCCTGACGAGAGGCCAGAAAGGGGGAAGACATAAATCACTTGAAGGCAGATTGTGGTAAGAAAAAGATGTGCACAGCTGCCCTTTAAACAACACGCGTGCAGTTGAAAATCCACGTATGACTTTTGACTCTGTAAAAATTTAATCACCAATAGTCTGCTGTTGACCAGGAATAACATAAAGAGCCAATTAACACATATTTTACATGTTAATGTGCATGTATTATAAACTACGTACAATACGGTAAGCTACAGACCCACAGCTAATACCATCCTCAATGGGGGAAAACAGAGCTAAGGTCAGGAGCATGACAGGGATGTCCTCTGTCACCACTGGTGTTCAACACAGTATTGGAAGTCCTAGCCTCAGCAATCAGACAACAAAAACAAATATAAGGCATCCAAATTGGCATGGAAGGAGTCAAATGATCACTCTTCACAGATGACATGATACTCTAGGTAGAAAACCTGGAAGATTCCACCAAAAACTCCTAGAACTGATACATGAATTCAACAACATCACTATAAAATCAACATACAGAAACCAGTAGCATTTATATATACTGATTCAAATAGCAGAAAGAGTAATCAAGGAATCAAATTCATTGACAACTGCACTGACAACCATAAAACAGGAATAAACCTAATCAAAGAGGTGAAAGATGTGTACCCTGAAAACATAAAAAGCTTATGAAAGAAATTGAAGAAGACACAAAGAAATGGAAAAACATTCCAGGCTCATGGATAGAAAGAACAATATTGTTACAATGTCGGAGAGTATACAAAGCAATCTACACATTCAATGCTATCCCTATCAAAAAAATACCATCATTCTTCACAGAGCTAGAATAAATAATTCTAAAATTTGTATGGAACCAGAAAAGACCCCAAATTGACAAAGCCACGTTAAGAAAGAAAACCAAGGCTAGAGACATCACAATTCTTGACTTCAAGCTGTATTACAAAGCTGTAATCATCAAGACAGTTTGATACTAGCACAAACACAGACACAGGGATCAGTGGAATGGAATACAGAACCCAGAAATGGACCCACAAATGTACGGCCAACTGATCTTCAACAAAGCAGGAAAGAATATCCAGTGGAGAAAAGACAGTCTCTTCAGCAAATGGTGTTGGAAAAACTGGACAGTGACATGCAGAAGAACAAACCTGCACCACTTTCTTACAGTGTACACAAAATTAAACTCAAAATGGATGAAAGACATAAACCTAATGCAGGAAGCCATCAAAATCTTAGAGGAGAAAACAGGCAACGACCTCTTTGACCTCAGCCACAAAAACTTCTTACTTGACATGTCTCTGGAGGCGAGGGAAACAAAAGCAAAAATAAACTATTGGGAACCTTATCAAGGTAAAAGCTTCTGCACAGCAAAGGAAACAATCAAAAGAATCAACAAAACTAAAAGGCAGCCTATGGAATGGAAGAAGATATTTGCAGATGACATATCAGATAAAGGGTTAGTATCCAACATCTATAAAGAAATTATCAAACTCAACACCCCAAAACCAAATAATCCAGTGAAAAAAATGGGCAAATGACAAATAGACACTTTTTCAAAGAAGACATCCAGATGGCCAAGAGACACATAAAAATATGCTCAATATCACTTGTCATCAGGGAAATACAAATCAAAAC